TTTGATGCCTTGGCATAAAATTTCTTTTTTAAAGTATATATTGAAATTGTGACGCTATTTTGGAGTAGATAATGTTGTGATCAAATTTCACTTGTATTTTTTGTAAGCTAATGTAATTAATTTTTCTATTTTGGAGTAGATAATGTTGTGATCAAATTTCACTTGTATTTTTTGTAAGCTAATGTAATTAATTTTTCCTTTGAAGGAGTAGAATTTTTTAGGTTTTGCTTTGTTATGGCTTGTCCGACGTTAGTAAATGTTTTAAGTGCTAAATTTTTAACATGAAAGATTTGCATGCCATAGCCATTTATGTAACATATATGAGCCTTAACAAAAGTAGACCATGTAACGTAGATTCAAATTATCCAAATATGGGTGATACATAGAAAAATTAACAATAAGTAATTTATTTCAGAAAATTAAAAAATTGGCAAGCTTTTACATAACTCAATTTGGTGAAATGATCAAACAATATGAGTTATCTTTGAATGTTTGAATGTTATCTTTTGTAGCTTCTTTAGTTATCTTTGAATGTTATCATTTGTAGCTTTTTTATAATTAAGATAATATACATCCAAGTTATACAAAATATCTTTCTATGGCTAATTGTATAAAAATATTGAACATTAGATATTTGTTGGATAACATCATGTTAAGAAGGCTAGCTGCCTTTGAGTATAATTTATAAAGTCAATATTTGATTTATTAAATGATCTGGAACAAGCTTCTAAATGCTAACTGGGGAGATATTAGTGCTCTGCAGGCATTTTTATTACATTTCATTCTATCATACAATATGTTGAAATGCCTTAGACATCTATTGAAAATATGGTAGCTGACCATAGTTTTCATCCTCAAGCTAGAAGGATCGAGAGACAATTAGGGGATACGAGGGTGAATGAAAATTCCATGTCACAAGTGATGAAAAATAAAGCATGGAGAACTTCAAAATTTGTGAAGGTGAAAGATATTTCTTAATAATAAAAAAAGGGGGTAAGGTTGATTACTATTATATTTGTTAGTAATGTATTATTTAGTGTTGAGAATTAATGTCACCACACAGCGAATTTGTAGATCTGATTGCAGGATACTCATTTCGAAGTATATAGAATTTCTGGAAGCGAAGATGAATGTAAATGCAATTCTATTGGATTGTGTAACAATTTTGCGGAAAAAATTAACTACAGAATTATTGGTATTGGATGTCAAGCCTTAAATTGTTTTTTGCTATTTCATTTTATGTTTAGACGATGTCCTTTAATTATCTTGTTTTATTTGTTAAAAGTAGTTCGTGTTTTGAGAATGTTGTATAGCTACTTCATTTTGTTTATATAGACTACTTGATATTTTGAGGGTGTCAAATAGCTACTATCTAGTGCATTTGCAATTTGGTGATTTAATGATATCGAATTTAATTGAAGTTCACATGTTTTCAGGTTATTGAAACTTTCAAATTTAAATATCATACATATCTAGGATACTAATATCGTTCCAAAATAATAAAATAACATTTAGGTCGTTATGACAAAATGTAACTATTGTTTTACGTAAGGACATTGACTTCATTCTTCAAACACAAAATGATTTTATATCGTTCTAGTATGAAAAACACATTGTTTTATAGATTTTCATAACGACATTGAAGTCATTACAAACCAATAAAACGACATATAAATCATTATACCAAAAACTTGCACGGCGTAGCAACATAGGGAGTCGTGCTTGCGCGTTCAAGGGTCCAAATTTTTGTTTTCGTTTCAATACAAATTTAGCAACATTAATATCATTTCAGTTCAAATCATAACTAAAGCGACTTGGATATAGTTTCCTTTCATATGTAATGAGAGTGATATCGTTATGTATCAAAGTCACGAAATACATGACCTCATCTTTATCGTTTCAATACAAATTTGACGAATTCGAAATCATTCTAGTTCAAATCATATTACGACATAGATATCGTTTCTTTTCATATAAAACGACAATTATATCATTATGGCTAAAAATAGATATTCGACCGTTTATGGCCACCCAACATGCCTTCTGCATACATAGGACAACCAAAAGAGACAATCAAATGGGTTGATGTCACTCAAATGACTTAAAAAAAATGAAGATACATGTCGGGTGCATGTTGGGTGGTTGTAAACTGTCGAATCCTCTTTTTAATAGATATCGTTTTATATAAACTAAAATGGTATAGATGTCGTCAAAATTGTATTGAAACGATAATGAAATCGTTATGAATCGAACCTACAAAATAACATAATGACAACCATATCGTTTAATACAAATTTGACGAGTTTAAAATCGTTCCAGTTTAAATTATAACTACGACGACATAAATATCGTTTATTTTCATATAAAATGATAATTATATCGTTCTAACTAAAAATAATGATTCTACTATCCACAACCACCCGAAATGCCTTCAACGTATGTAGGACCAAAAAAAGAGGTCATCAAGTGGGTTGAAGCCACTCGAATGCCTTAGAAAAAAAAACAAACGAAGACACTTTCTTTCAATCAAAATAGTTTGAAAGTTGTATGAAATCAAGGGAACACAAATATTCCCATAATTTCTTTTGAGTAAGGTCAAACCTACTTGATGACCTATTTTGATCGTCCTACATATATTGGATGCATATCGAATGATGTGAATCTATGCATTTTTCATAATGGAACGACATATGAGTTAACTATAACGATATAAAAGTTGTTTGTTTGTAATGTAAAAAACATAGCAACATAAAATGACTCTAATTTTGTTCTAAAAGCACAAAAGCGATAATAGCACAATGACTATAAAAGTGATAATAGCACAATGACTACAAAATCTAATAAATCATTTTGTACTTCCAATAAGTACAAAATAATAAATTTACAAATCACGACAACATTACAACTTTAATTTTCATCACCAGCAATTCGGCATTTACAAGTGAGTGAATAAAACCAATTTTCTTACAGTTGGTGTCTTAGAGATTATAGGGACAAGAGTTGACATCTCCATTTTGTATAGCATTGTATTGACCTCCAACATCTCTCTAACTTTGTCATACAAGTTCATAGAAGAAATTGTTTTCGAAATAAGAATAAACGATATTTCCCCTTTGTGTCATTCACTGCATAATTTAACTTTCAAGCACCTTCAACTGACTGTTCATATTCAATTAGATAACAAATTGAATACATAGCATATCAATGATGTCCATAACTACTATTCAACGTAAAAATTGTAAAATTTCATCAAATGTCAATTTCGTACATTATTGGTAACGAGATGTATATTATTATGGTTTGTAGAAAATGATATATAAGTCATTGTGGATGGAAAAAAATTGAAAAATATGTTTTACAGTAAAACAACAAATAGAATAGCCAAACATGTGTTTTACCAACATGTTCACTTCAAAAATAAGAGGTAATAAGAAAGATTGTAAATCAACTCATATCAAAGCCTTAATTCAATGATAAAATGAATTCAAAGTCATTATTGACAAATAAACACTATAAACACAAATCACAACAACATGTAATTTAGGGGGAAAAAAAAGTAATCCAATTCTTGAAATTTAACATTTCATTCTCTTCTTCTTCAAATGCTTATCAAGAATATTGTAAGCTTTGATAACTTACTTCAACCAAGTTAGTGTTCAAAAAAATGACAATAGTAGATTTTAGGATTTCATGACAGAGAGGAGAAGATGATGATGATGATAAAAAAATAAAGAAATAAATAAACCTGCATAGAGATGTCGACCCAACTGTGAAAGAAAGAAAATCAAAATTGAATTAAAGCTAAATGGAAATTGAAAGGGAAATTAGGGCATTATGTCTTTTTATATATAAGGATATTTTAGTAATTTAAAAATTATATTTTCTTTTTCTTTATATCTTTAGGCTATTTAACTAAAAATGATAATTCATAGGCTTTTTAAATAAATTTTTGCTTGGACCGAGCCTCTTAAACGAAAACCCCTCTAATTCCTTAACATTATTGGAATGACATGATTTTCTTTATTTTCATTTTTCTCAATATACGCTACATGAAATTTCTTTAAATGATAATAATATGTAAAGGTAGCTCATTGATTCAAACGTTTAGACAAAAATTTTTGAAAAATACTTATTATATCCAACTTAACTTGAAATACCAATTTGAGTTGAAGGTTACAAGAAGCTTCATTTCTATTAGCTCGAACAAAAGTCAAATTACTATTCAAAAACCTCGCTTCACGATAAAATATTTAAATCCGTCCAAAAATTTGCATTGAATTCGACCTTATGTAAAATCCTTATGAATATAATAGAAGTTTGGTGAGAATGCAATCCTATAAGCAATGCATGTATATAGGCTCGTTCTAATAAAATATACCTACATTATTTGATTCAAACAATTCTTAAACTATACGAGTATTGAGCTTCTATATAAGACGTGCATACTTACATTAACCAACTAGACGATGTGTTTCCAACTATTCCTGACATCTGTGAAAAATGTCGAGTGTGTTGATCTCGATCCTAAAAATAAAATAAATAAATAAATAAAAAAGGTCAAAATCTTATAAATTGCCATCCTTATGAGTTGAGATATGCTTTAAGAAAAATTCTATCGACTGACAATGCAATTAAGTATAAGGGTTCGAATCCTGAAATATGAATTTAGCTCTTGAGTAAGTGCAAGTATACAAGCAGCCTTCCACCCCCCTTGGAGGCATAACCTGCGATTTACCTCCCTCACGATACTCCAGGACAGGGGTGGTGGGGAATCCTTAAAGTTAGGGTTTAACCTTTTTTTTTTTTTTTTTTTTTTTAAGTATAGAAACTATAGCAAAATCTACTCAAAATCAAATTATATCCAAACTTGAAGCAATATGCAGAGCGCCGCTTTATTTTACATGCCAGGCCTACTCGGTTTGCAGGCTATAGGCCTACTCGGTTTGCGGTCTATAGGCTTTAAATGAAGATAAAGAAGAAATAACAGTATAAGAAAACTCTATCATGAAAAGTACAACTGCATATTTTTATCAACAGTGTTTTCAAGTAGGGATATCATTTACAGTCTTGTTATGCTCTTGGTCTAAAGTTTCATTGCTCATGTTCAGAGGATATAGTCACATCAACGAAACATAGTACACAGTGAATTAGCTATAAGATATACAACCCTTGACGTATTTACATGGTAAAGAAGGGCATGTATCTCATGCAATACATGTATAACCCTATCCTGGTCTGGTTTCAGTTTTCAGAAACCGGATATATTCTTGCTGCACCATCATCCCTCCGTTCAAGGGATCAAAACGGCACCTGTAAAAACTGAAAATGGGGCCCAAAGGAAAAGAGACAAAAGATTAGCAGGATTTCAAGAACTTCTAAAGTGACATGTATAGGTTGTTGAAATATGATCAGAAATTATGTCAAATCTGCTTTTGACGTATTTAATTTGTGGAGCACCCAGACTTCCCAGTTTGTGCATGTGTGGAACTATATACAAATAAACACCCACAAAAGACATGCGTACCTTCCATCCAAGCCTGTGATCATGAGGGTGTTCTGAGAACCAAAAGCTGTGATGAATTGGATACACTCTGGTAAGTGAAACTGAGCAAACGACCATTCTGAGCTGAAATATTTGGGTAAAACCCCTGGAGAAGTTACGAAAAATGTGAGAATAGCCAACCTTTCTGGTGTAAAATAAGGAGTCCACCTCAAAATAAGTAATATCAGAAAGCAGAATTTTGACTTCATAGCAACCATGTCTCGAGATAAACCGTGTGAGCACTTTGATACTAGTTAAAAACAATAATTAAGTTGTATACGTGGAAGGTGCAAGTTCCATCCATCCAAGACGAATCTATCGAAGACATTGATACTCCCTCCATTCAAAGTAAATGGCATTATTCCCTAATCAAGATGTTCATAAAAAATTGACAAGTAGATCCTATAGTTCAAGAGATTCAAGCAAGGTATCCACCAGATCTGATTTGCAAAATTTGAGGTCCGGGAGTTTCAGTTTTTTGAATATTGGTTTAGAAGTCCTTTTCAGTAGCAGCATGAAGAAATGGTGATATTACCGATTTTGGTAAGTTTTTATTTTAAGTTTTATGATTCTCTGCCTAAAAATTTGAGAATCCGTTGGTCTTGGAGGATAGACTCGAGTGGTGATGAGCTTGTGTTGTTGTCAACTGCATAATAAGACTTGAATTTGACGGAGATGAGGTGGTTCCACATGTTGTCGGAGTTGGCAAAGGTCAACCATTCAAGTCTCATCACCACCCATTTATAAATATTGTGCACATCAGATCTTCAACAAAAAAGAAAAATGAATCCAATGTGCAAGAGGTGTTGAAGACTAAATAAAATTGCACCCACTCCAACAGATTAAGCTTATTAATCAAGCAGTTCAACATGGTTTTGTGATATCATGTTAGATCGATGGGAAAGTCACATAGGACACAGTGGAAGTGTGGGGAAGAAAGACAAAAGCTGGAAGCTAAATTTTTCTTTTCAATCTTGATACAGAATCACTTCACTAAGCACCAGAGGAAAAATAAAAAGCCTTTTAGCCTTGCATAAAAAAACAGATCCAAGTAAAATGGTCCCATCAACATGAAAATGAGAGAGTGGATTTCTCTTCCATTTGTCATTTCAAATCAAGCTGCCACCAATAATCTTCTAGCCACTCAGTGAAGCAGTACTTTACAGAAAAATAAATCATATAATCAAATGTATGTCCTACCTTTCATGAAAGATAATGATGAACCGGGATTAGAACTGGTGCTTGAGGAAATTAGAGCATCAAGAGAGTTTGAAGAATTCTGGTGACATAATGCCGGACCTCTAACGACAGCAGAATCAGTTGAACGATCCTCTCCAACCACCCGTACTCTGAGACTGAATATGTGGACAGTACCTTTGTCACTTGACACAGCCAACCACTGAATGTTTGGAGATAGAGCAATACTATATATGCCAGCTTTGTCCGCCCCTCTGCGTACCTGTTGCAAGCAATTGTAATCAAAATAAAAGAGCGTCATTGAGGTGATTGTGACAATGAACAGTCATCCAAATACAGATCAAATCTGGACCTGGTTGAGATAACAAAGAACTAGTAAGAGAAACTGCGCTTAATGATACCACAGATAGCCAAACTGCATTTCTTGATGAAATCATGCAAGTCAGTAGCAATTTGTAGATTAGAGATGACAATAAATCTTATCTACCTAGCTACTTCAATGTCTATATTCTCACATGAGAAAACAACCCCACAATCACAGGAGTGTGATTATGAAAAATTTTATCTGCACCTTGTCCATAAAAGGTGACAGAAAATCTTCCAACATGACGACAGTTGGTTTTGTAATAATAAATTATTTTTATTTTAAAAACTGAAAGCGATGAGAACATGAATTAGTCTGTTGCTCTAAGCTTATTCCTTCCAGTCTAATTATTTTAGAGTAAATAATTTAGAACTAAGATAAAGAAAATTAAATAGGACTTATTTCCAAAAAGAAATCCTCTATTTGAACGTGATAATTCCAAACTGCCATTATTTTCCAGCATTGGAGATTTGATCTTTGAATATACCTCTCTGGGACTTCTGGTAATTTTCTCTTTAGTTAAAAGTCTCTCTCTCTCTCTCTCTCTCTCTCTCTCTCTCTCTCTCTGTGACACACACCATGCAAACAACACAGCAGCATCACCCTACTGTTGTCTGTCTATCTCTCTCTATAATGAATCCTCGCTCTTTACAAAACAATCTCTCTTTTGATCCTCATCTTTTTTATTAGCTTTCTCTAACCATATCCTAATCTGCTTCTTTCTCTCTCAAACAAAAATTCACAAACAGTCATTAAGTTCTCACATATTTCTAGAGATGGTGCTACCCATTGCAATTAACTTAGAGTTTCGTATCTATGCAAAATAAAAAAGAGTAAACAGATTGACCAACTCGACTCATTGGTCGAGTTAGTAAGCTTAAGTTGGACATTTGACCGATAAAAAGATTATCTGTTATGCGTAAAAACATATTAGAAGGTAATATTTATCAATTTGGCCATTAAAAGGGGGCTATTTTAGAAAAATTGCCAATCATTTTAATGCCTTTGTATTGGAACTTCATTTACCTGAAAAAAGCGCCTGTTCAAGGAAATAATACAAGCATCATACCTCTTGTAATTGAGTTCCATCCATTGTGTTAAAAATTCTTATTAAAGTGCCTCTGATGCTGGCAGTAGCCAGAAGAAGCCCATCCATCGTCAAGGTCATGCAAGCAATTTGAGAATCATGAGCATTGATTAATTTTGTCATATTCAGGCCAAAATGTTCGACCCGGACCTGTCCTCGTCGAAGGCCTGGGCATGCCAACACAGATGCATTCAGGTGGTGCGAAAGGTAACAAAGTCCCCTGGGATTCGCCAAAGTCTCTATTTGATGAAGAAGCTTCAGATCCATGAAATTATAAACATATATCTTGTGCTCAAGAATAACAACAAGACAATCCCGTCTTAGTTTAACAGAACGAACCTCGGACCTAAATGAGAATTCACCAATACACCGGCTCTGATGATCATCCCATATAATTACTTTATTTGGAGGGTATTGGGTATTAATGTTACTACCAACAAGTGCTAAAATATTGCACCTAAACAGCATCTCCACTATCTTAAATCCCCCACTTTTCAGATCACGCCTGAATGTTTCCTTGAAAGGATCACAATTATATATACGAAAACCACAACTAGTGCCTGCAGCAAAGCAACCATAATCCTGATTCCACGATACAGAGTATAACTCCATTTCACCATTGTCATCTGACTCTGATTCTGGTTGGAAATAAGTGCCAGAAGGTCCAACCATTGATGAATCATAAACACCAAAACCTGCTGGCGGAAGTAACCCTTGAGTTGTTGAACCAGCCGAATTCATCGGGTGAGTGAACAGTCATCAACACTTCAGCAACCAAAAGCCGTAGAAATTTTAGAATGCAAGAGTAGAAATAACTCAAGTCAAACTCCCTGGTCACGAATGTGTGCCAGTATCAACAGATTGTATCATCCAAGAATTGGGCAATAAATGCTAAAGCGGGAGTCCCATAAAATTACTGATCATTGAAGGTGCCACAAAAAATAATAACAAAAACAAACGAGAGAAACAAAAGAAACACAAAAACACAAAGAAAAATGGAACCCAATAAACTCATTATTCTGGAAAAATCATTCAATCATACATGCAATATGTCGCCAGAAAATCAAATCAAAGCAAATCGTCGGCATTAGTTTATTATGATTAAAGATGCATTAATAAATACTTACGGAGCTTCAATAACTATGGAACTCTCAGAATTTCCAAAAAGTGCAAATTGGCCAGCATAATTTTAGTCGATCAAGGGACCGTGCGTCTTCATCAAAAGGAGCTTGTAATCTGACAATATTCATTTCATTCCAGACAAAACCCCAAAAATCCAAGAATATAACTACATATATATATCTAAATATATACACATGTATAATCTGGAGATCACAGGGTGTGATTCATCACCTGTCCGTGCAGAAGAAAATTTCTATAACGAACAATAAATTTTGAAATTCTGAGAATTGAGAAAAGAAAGATAATTTTGATGAAGGAAAAGCTAAGGGGAAAATCGAGCGAGAGATAGAGAGTGAGGAGTTCTAGGATGTTTACACGTAATGGAAAAGAAAGATCTGAGGTGCGGAATATTCCAATTCATACTTTTATTTCTTAGTTAAATGTTTCAACAATAGTTCAACTTATATTATGGTCGAAGTTTACTCTCCAAACTTTAAAGTGTTTCACGGTGCTCATTAAATTTTGTCCATTTACACTCCATCTATTATTCTCAAAAATTCGTCATTTTATTTGCTAGCATGGTTAATGAAAATTTCATGTGGTAAGTTACGATCATTAAAAAATTACAATTCAACCAAATCAATATTTCATTACTTATCTTGATCACGATTTACTCATCAAATTTCAAAATACTTTCCAATGATCATCCATCGTTGAGCATTGTACTCCACCCATCATCCACCAGATTTCAATCCCTTCATTGCTAATGTATTGACAGAAATTTCATGTGACAAGTTACGATTGTTAAAAAATTACAATTTATCCAAATCATCAACTACCGAAAATCACCATAGGTGAAACACGACTTCCAAGCCCCATGAACTTCTTTAAACCCAACAATGTGTCTCCAATTTCGATTCCAAAAGAAAACCCAGCTTCCAATTCAATCATCTCACCGGCATACCGCTAAATTGTATAATAAGAGAACTAATTTGTTGAAAATGATATGAGAAGCCATTACTTATAAAGTCTTATCCCATTGTACCATTTGCTCGACGATTCTCTAATACCAATCTTCTATTTTTGCAGTCAGGCATCCAACAATTTGGAAAACGATATGTCATCAAACTCCGACCAATTGATGAACGAAGAACAACAAATACGAACACAACCCAAAAGGTATTCCAATCTTACACCAGCCGTCGAAGTCTGACGACATTTCTTTCTTCAAATATTTGGACATGCACTGCAAATAATGGAAGATTGGAATTAGAGAGACACCAAGTAAATGGTATAATTAGGGGATAGGAGTTTATAAGTAGTAATTTCTCATATCTTTTTCAACAATTGACTCTGTCTCATTACACAATTTAGTTGTAAGTGAATGAAATGAGTGAGTTGGTAAAGTAGGATTTTTCAGAGTTGAAATTTGGGATGCATTATTGGGGCGTAATAGAAGTTTTATGGGGCTGTGGAAGTCGCATTTTCACATACGATGATTTTGATGAGGTAATGGTAAATTTTTATCAAGTTGGATGAGTAATAAAACACTGGATTGCTTGAGTGGTATTTCTCTTTAATATCGTAACTTGTTCGTGGGATCTTCATTAGCCATGTAAGCGAATAAAAGGTAACGGATTTTTTAGGGTGATGGATGGAGTGCAAATGAAAAAAGTTTTGTGAGCATTATGAAGTACTTTAAAATTTAGTGAGTAAATCGTGACCATGATATAAATTAAGTATTTATTGAAACATTTAACTCCTTTGTTTCTTGGGTTTTTGAAGAAAAATCAAATTTAACCCTTCAACAACTAGGAAATCCGTAAGTTATCCTCTACCTTTTAGTATCTTCTTAATTAATCCTCCAACTGTTTGAAACTACAAAATTGATCCTCAAACTATTTAAAAGTTTGGATTTTTCGAAATTCAGAAGTCATTCTCCTCCAACTACTAAAAACTAAAATATAATCTTCAAACTACTTAAATTTTCAAATTTGACACTTCATCGATTAGGAAATTCTTAACCGATACTCTGGCTATTAGAAAATTCAAGTTTGACTTTTCAGCAATTAGGAAATTCGTGTCAATTATCATCCTCTAACTTTTCATAAATTCTTAATTGATCCTCAAACTATATCAAAATTCAAATTTGAATCTTCATCAATTAGAAAATTCATAAGTCATCCTCTAACTTTTCGTAACTTCTTAATTGGCACTAAAACTATATGAAAATTCAAGCTAACCCTTCATCAATTAGGAAATTCACAAGTCATCCTATAACTTTTCTTAACCTCCAAGTATTAGTAACTACAAAGTCGATCCTAAACTATTAGAAAATTCAAATTTGACCCTTCATCAAATAGGAAATTCTTAAGTCATCCTCTAACTTTTTGTAGCTTCTTAATTGAACCTTCAAGTATTAGGAACTACAAAATCGATCCTCAAACTATTAGAAAATTCAAATTTAACCCTTCATCAATTAGGAAATTATTAAGACATCCTCCAACTATTGGGATCTACAAATTGATCCCCAACTATTTCAAGATTTAAATTTAACCCTTCAAGAATTAGGAAATTCTAAGTCATCCTCCAACTATTAGAAAATGAAAATGATCCTCAGACTATTTGAAAACGCAAAGATCTCTCAATTCAATTTGAAGAAAGGAGTAAAGTTCGGAATCTCCTATACAAGGAGATATTTTCTTTGTCATAGGAGTAGAGTGTTTTCCATTATCAGCTCAATATTTTATTAGTTACTTTCGAGTTGTAAGTCAATTGTAAAAATGTGTCGAAGTACTATATGTCTTCTATTGTATGATATCTTGGATGAAGAAATAAAACAAAAGTTTTAGTATTCTTCTTGCATTCAAAGGAAGAGATTTTGAAGTGCTGAGCTTATTTCTTATTTTGTTTTGATATCAAGTCTGCTTCTCCAGCAATTATGTTGAAAACCTATATAAGTATTAAATTTAATCCTTTTTTTTGGGTATTAATCATGAACTACTACTACTACTACTACTACTACTATTATTATTATTATTATTATTATTATTATTATATATATATATATATATATATATAATAATAATAATAATAATAATAATAATAATAGTAGTAGTAGTAGTAGTAGTAGTAGTTCATGATTAATACCCAAAAAAAAGGATTAAATTTAATACTTATATAGGTTTTCAACATAATTGCTGGAGAAGCAGACTTGATATCAAAACAAAATAAGAAATAAGCTCAGCACTTCAAAATCTCTTCCTTTGAATGCAAGAAGAATACTAAAACTTTTGTTTTGTTTCTTCATCCAAGATATCATACAATAGAAGACATATAGTACTTCGACACATTTTTACAATTGACTTACAACTCGAAAGTAACTAATAAAATATTGAGCTGATAATGGAAAACACTCTACTCCTATGACAAAGAAAATATCTCCTTGTATAGGAGATTCCGAACTTTACTCCTTTCTTCAAATTGAATTGAGAGATCTTTGCATGAAGTTCTCCTGGAATTCAACAATCGCTTGTTTTCATTACGTCTTCACATGTTTTCTGCACAAAACACAGGAGACATTTGCTTTGTCTTAGAGGCAAAATCTTTTCCATTATCAACTCTATATTGGATTAGTTACTTTCGAGTTGTTACCAAGTTATTAAAAAAAAAAAAAAAAAGGTGAGTTCTTTTTGTCTATTGTATACTAGTTTGGACGAATAAATAAAATGGAAATTCTAGTATTCTGTGAGTATTATAAGGGAGAGATTTTTGGAGTGTTGAGCTTATTTCTTATTTTGATATCAAGTTTTCGCTGTTCCAACAATTTTACTGGAACCCTGTAAATTTAAATTTAATCATTGTTATTTTATATTAATCTTGAACTAGTATTATGTAGTTAGAACTTTAATTCTACTAAAAAAAATTAATAATAATAAATAAAAATAATTACACTAAAAGCTTCAAACCTTTAAAATATTAACAGACTTTCCCTAAATCTTTAATTTGTTGCAACCATCATCCCAAACCTCTCGAAACGTTGCAACGAAAGTCCTTCTAAATGGTTTTCATCATTTTTAATCAATTGACCAAAAATTTTACTTTAACCACATTTTGAATATTTTAAAAAGGGGCAAAGAAATAACTTTCCATTTATCACATTAAATAACCAGATTAAAAAAAAAAAAACACACACACACACACACACACGTACAACCCGTCTTCTTCCTTACACCCCTCACCCATCCCGAACTCAAATCAAAAATCCACACTGACCACCATCACAGCCACAAAACTGAAAAACCACCCAAAATCAGCAAATGCTCCAATGTAATAGTTGCTTCACCCAGGCGCGGATCCAACACTCGGCGAGCAGGTGCGACCGCGCGTGCTGGATCCGCCAGGAGAAATTTTTTTTTGTTGGCAACAGCTTAAAGTTTTACAATATATTACTGGTAAGTCGCCTTTGTTATCAATACTTCTTGTAGCCCAACTGGTTGGAGGTTGCATGTTTATATTTAATGTCTAAGGTTTGAATCTCCCACTACAGGATTTTTGTGCATTATTCTTATTCTACAAATTTTACCAAAATTTTTGTAATGATAGAGACAAAGGGATTCGAACCTGTACACTCTTGCAAAAGTAGTTACCAACTTAGCCATTGTGATACTTCTTAGTTTGTGCCCATTATTCAACCAAAAAATATTTATTAGGTTTTAACTGGTTTAAGCCAAATTCAATTGTAAATACTAGAATCCGCTCTCTTTCTTTAAATTATACAAAACTTGGCAATAATGTCATTTGATGAGTCATGTTTATTCTGATAACAAAATTATATATGTTCAATTTGAACAAAATAATTGTTATATTTAAACTTTAGGCCTTATTCAATTTCTATTTTTTTCAAAATACATTTTTCTCTTTTATTTTCATTCACTCATTCTTCAATAAAATAATATTTTTCGCAAATTCAAAATTTTTCTTTATTTGTAGCAACACTTTCTCCTTCAAATCACTGTTCAAAAATGCATTTTTTACCAAAAAAAAAAAGGGTATCAAGCGAACTCTTAATATTTTATTGGAATCGACGGTAAATGGTCAACGGCCGCCCGTGCTAACTCAAACTCTTGAATTCGCCCCTGACTTCACCCCATGGGAAAAAAAGTGTTAGTCTCAAAACACCATCTTCCTGGAAGCCCAAAAATCAAATCACTTTCATCATGTATTATGTATGTGGACATGTTGATAGCTTCAGATATCCCGACTTTTTTCCAGACAGAGTGGTATTTTAATTCCATTTTGTCGACCCATGTTTTCCATTTCTTGATTGGATCCATCCACCCACTGAAAACGACTTCTAAAGACCAAATTGGGATCGGGGACAGAGATGGAAGCTTCACGAGTGGTCCATCAATGGATGAAACAGATGGTTTAATAAAATGGGCTTTTCTCCAAGTTGGTATACCTCCAGTGGTGAAACCATTAGCTCATGTCTTTGCTCCACAATGATACTTTGAATTGACACTGCCATGATTAAGACTCACGAAGCTGTACCCTAGAAAAATAATAATAATAATAATAATAATAATTTAATTTTTATAGAAACAGCTGCTATCAAACGATAGGACTATATTCTAGGTAAAGATAGAACTCTTGATTGAGGTGGCGGTGGTTGGTGTAGGTTTTGGGTTTGAGTTCAAGGGGGGTTGGGTGAGCGGTGAGAGGAAGAAGACAAGGGTTTGTGATTTTTGGGAAAGTCTGCTAATATTTCAAAGGTTTGTGATTTTTGATGCAATTCTCTCTAATAAATAAAAGAGTATTTTTTTTCCTTTATTTTTTAGATTAATGTTTTTTATGCTTTAATTTGCTTTTATTGAGTTTAAGGGATTATTCTCAATTGAGATTGCGATGAATTTTAAAAATTCTTTTAAATTTAGATGTTGTTAATTGAGATTTTAATGAATTTTAATAAAATCCAATAAAATTTAGGCTTTCTCAATTGAAATTTTAATGAAATTTATTGAGATCCATTAAAATTTAGTATCCTCAATAACTATTAAATTTATAAAGATTTCATTAACAAATGGATTTTAAAAGATTAAAATGGATTTCAAGCTAAAAAATGCATATAACCATTTTTTTAATTTGTTTTTTATTTTGAAATTTCACCATATTTGATAAGAATATTATGAAGTTCGTGGAAATCTATTCAAAATCACGAAATTCATTGGGATTTATAACATTTTAAAATCCATCAAAATTGAATCATCTGACTACTTGAAATATACTAATCCTCCAACTAATAGGAATATCTTAATTGATTCTACATCTATTAGAAAATTTAAATCTAACCCTTCAGCAATTACAAAAAATTCATAAATGATTCTCCAACTATTAGGATCTATAAATCTAATCCTCCAACTACTAGTAAACACTAGTTTGACCCTTCAGCATTTAGGAAACTCTCAATTCATCCTTCAACTGTTAGTGACTTCTTCATTGACACTCCACCTATTTGAACATTCTAATATGACCCTCCAAAGATTAAGAAGTTCTTAAGTCATCCTCTGATGATTTAGAACATTTAAATGTATCCTCCAACCTAGTACATAACTAAATTCATCCTCCAACTACAAGAAATGACTAAGAAGGTGTTTGGTAAGGATGAAAATTAGATTTTCTAGTAGATTGTGATAGAAATTTTCGAAGTGCGATTAAGAAGTTGTCGGACCCATGAAAAATGTGGTTAATATTGATTATTTGATTTTAGCTTAGATTAAAATCAAATGAAAATCAGAACCAAACAAGTTGTAAGTTGATTTTAAAAGTATACGGAATGTCAAAGTTGACCCTTAAACTATTTTGTAGCTTTCACTTCATCCTCCAACTATTAGAAAATTCCACTTTTACCCTTTAGCAGTTAATTTTATGTTTTGAATTGATCGTCAAACTATTAGGAACTAAAAAACTCATCCTCAAACTAATAGGAAATTCTAATTTGATCCTTTAACAATTAGGAAATTCTTGAGTTATCCTCCAACTATTAGAAGCTTCTTAATTGATTATCCAAATATTTACATCATACTTCATCCTCAAACTATTTATAACATTTACATTATCCTTCCATTTATTAGGATCTTCTAAATTGATCCTCCATCTATTTGTAATATTTGATTTATTCCTCAAAACTAATAAAAATGCAAAATTGATCCTCCAACTATTAAGATTAATATTTTGATCCTCTATTTATGGGGAGTATCTAAGATGAACCTCGAAACTATATGGAACATAAAAAATGATTTTCCAACTATCAGGAAATTCAGTTCGATCCTCAATCTACTAGGAAATTCTTGAGCCATCCTCCAACTATAGGAACTTCAAATTTGATCCTTCAAATATGTTTGACAACTGGATTTATCCTCAAATTATTTGAACATCTATCAACATGTACAAGATACCACCAAGTATTTGATATTGGCCCTCTATCTATTGGTAACCTCAAAATTGATCCTCCAACTATTAGGAACTTTTGGTTTCATCCTTCAAGTCTTAGAAAATACTAATTTGATCATTGAACTATTAGGAACATCTGAATTTATCATCTATTTGTTAGGAACATCAAAGTTGACCCTCCGACCATTTTGGACATCGAAAATCATCCTCCAAATATTTGGAACTTCTAATTTGATCCTCCAATTATTACATGATATCTGATTTGATCTTCAAACTACATAGGACAACTAAATTGATCTTTCAATTATTTATAATATCTAATTTGAGTTAAAGTTAAAGCTGCATATGTTTGACAACTGGATTTATCCTCAAATTATTTGAACATCTATCAACATGTACAAGATACCACCAAGTATTTGATATTGGCCCTCTATCTATTGGTAACCTCAAAATTGATCCTCCAACTATTAGGAACTTTTGGTTTCATCCTTCAAGTCTTAGAAAATACTAATTTGATCATTGAACTATTAGGAACATCTGAATTTATCATCTATTTGTTAGGAACATCAAAGTTGACCCTCCGACCATTTTGGACATCGAAAATCATCCTCCAAATATTTGGAACTTCTAATTTGATCCTCCAATTATTACATGATATCTGATTTGATCTTCAAACTACATAGGACAACTAAATTGATCTTTCAATTATTTATAATATCTAATTTGAGTTAAAGTTAAAGCTGCAAGAAAATGAAGATAACATATTATAAATACCCTAACCAAAACAACGTGTCGACTTGATAGGTGAAAGACAATATCGTATTGGTGCAAAATGACGCTATTTTCATTGATCTTTCAATTATTTATATATCTAGAGTTAAGGTTAGAGTAGCGAGAAAATGAAAATAACACATAATAAATACAGTTGTGCTGGGTGTACAACAATAAGTGCTATACACTCATACACCCCTCTCACAATGAGAAGGGTCCACAAATATAATATTCATGTAAACTCTCTAAATGTGAGAGGGTTGTACACAAAGCTGTGTACCAGCAGTGTACAAGAGTTATCGTTGTACACCCATACACCCCTTTCACAATGGAGTCCACAAATATAATACTCATGTAGGCCCCCTCACATTGTGAGAAGGTTGTACACAAAGCTGTATACCAGTGTACAAGAGGTTTAATCCTAATAAATATCCAAAACAGCGTCATAATCTTGAAAGCACAGGACAACCTCGTATTAGTGCGAAACGATGTCATTTTCAGTCCTAAAAGAAAAAGGCATCCTTTTTGACGAAGAAAAAAAATATATAGAAATCGAATGACGACACAAATATTCCATAATGTTATCTGAAATATATTTCTGTTCAACATGTATTGTTTGATAGTTCAAAAAGAGATCATTCGGAAAATATATCGACTAGATAAATTTTACGGGCATAGAAAATTCATCTCGTACAAAATATTTAATTCCTTTTCAAATGTCAACAAGTGAATTAAGATCAATTTATTAATGATGTCACACTGCAAGAGAATGACAACTGAAACACTTTTGATCATGTTTAAGCTTTTTCTTTAAAGTTTTCGAACTCATTTTCAACTCCATTCTTTTAATAAAATAATTCGCACGTATGTTCACAATTTTTTCCTACTTTTTAATTACATTACTTTATAATCACATTCTCAGAAAAATAAAAGAAGAAAAAAAATCAATTTTTACACAATCTAATTTCAAAAAAAATTATGCTACTTGTACATAAAAATGGTACATTGGATATTACATAAAATGATGTAGAGGGAAAAAATTGGATGAAAAAGTTAAGTTTGTTTTAAACTAGGAAATGGTAGAATCACATGTAGCATTATATAACCCATTATGTAAAATTTGATGTAGATGTAGAAAGATCCTCTCATAAAGGGCTCGATAGGGGCTTTATATAGTCTTGTATAGTGTTGTCTAGCAAACCAAACATGCCCAATCTTGTTAAAGCAGAGACATAATTTAATTCTCAGATTGGAAAATGGAAAGAATTGACCACAATGTGACTTTAGTATTTCCATATTCCAACAGAAAGATAAGCAAACATTTACAAGAAATGCTTCCAGTTTACATTACTGTTAACCTCCATGAAATAAAAACTGCACAACACATTTTGCAACATTTAGTACATGTTGATGTTCCATAGACATACTGGACAGTAGAACAAGATTTTAAAATATTTTTCCTTTTTAATACTTTCCAAGTGTTATCCAAACAGCCATACCCAGACGTACCGTAACAGTTCAACCCCTCCATTCATCCTTTCTCTTTCTTATCTCCCTGATGGCTTCCACTGGAGACTTGCATCCTACCTTCTCCTGCAGAGTCAAGTTATGCCAGTCAATTTCAGGCAGAGAAATGGCATATAAATTATTGAATTCAAGATGACATCCAATAGCATGCTCATCAATTAATTCAATGAGAAACAGGGGTTAGAGTTCATTTCGTTGGTCCCATTCAATCTAATCCAATATAATTGTTTACTTAATCATTGGGCATTTCAAGTTCAACCAAACTAAATTTGAGAATGTCAGGTAGATGAGTTCAGATTCTCGAGAAAGTTGTTCGTTCTCATCGTAGACAATCCCATGTATATTAAACTATTTCATGAAATTTAAAGCATTTTGAAAGAAAGAAGTTTCTCTTTTCTTTTTCATTTCATTATACAAATTATTTCATTTTTATCAATCGACCTTTTGTCTGTAATAATCTGTTTTGTAGTCCTTAATATTAATAACCCAGGATTGGTTTTCTTAATAATGATAGCCGGCCAATTTCTAGCTAAGAGGCAAAATTTCAAAAAACTCGAGACAAATGAAAATTTATTTAAGGAAATGAACAGAATTATACATAATGGTAGAGGAATCAAATGAGCTCTTCTAATTAACAGTAGTATGATACCTGAACCTCTGGTAGATCAACACGCATGAACGGGTTAGTTTCCAGTTCTTCCTCAATAGTTGAGGGAATAGTAGGAAGCCCCTTTGCTCTCTTCTGCTGAGCCCATGATAATTTTTGGGATATCCTCACATTATCGGGTTCCACTATCGAAGAAAATAGCAAGTTCTTCACCGTGTACTGAGTGCAAATTAAATTTAAGTCAGAATCTAGAAAAGAAAGTGGACAATCAGATAAATAGTACATAAAAACGCTAATTTTTGGTCCATTAATTAGAGATAAGTTCCAAGTTGAAGATCAGAACCAGCCAGAAGCAAAACCAGTGGGCAGGCCAAGGAAAGCTATTTTAAGTTTCTTTAATAAGAGAGAGAAAAACTTCTGACCAATTTGAGAGTTCAGGGAAAAAGTCCAAAGTAAAAAAAAAACACTCCTAGAATTAAAAAGTAACATATAAAAGTAAGTTTGGAGCAATGTGCACAAAACTGGCCTGGGCATCAGCCTGGAGATCAAAGGATCACACCAAGTTGAACAAATGGTAATATATATATATATATATATATATATATATAGATGGATAAAATAAAATAAAATTTGATGTCAATTAGTGAACATACCACACCACATATGCATGTGAAAATACATTACCTCGTGACCACAAAAAACTCGAGTTGGCTTTGGTAAAGAACCCAAGGTCACACATAGCGAGTGATACATCTGTTCCGCAGTGCCTTCAAAAAACTTACCACAACCAGCAATGAACTAAAAATGATGACAAGCAGAAGAAAAGAATTAATCATAATCCCATCTCTACGACAATCCAATGTCACTAGCTAGAAAGGGAACAGATTGAAGAAAATACATATAATTGAAAAGGCAAAGGAAGCAATTATAAGAAGTAATCTAACAAAAGTAAAGCAGTTTGAGAACTTAAACATTTCTTCGAAGAAAAGTTAGCTAACAACGAATGCCTGACTGTCCTTCAAGTCTAAATAAATAAAGGATCGGTCTGAGTTCTTTGTTAGACATGGTTTTCCCAATAAGAACTCATCTCGAAACAAAATGACAACGAAAAATTCCCATCAAGAATTTAACAAAAGGCTTGCATATTCATGGCTTATGGATCTCATTATAGTTGAGTAGTGTAAAAACAAACAAAAAGTAAAATTTTACAGCAGCTACCACTACCCAAAGGCCATCCAACAAAAATCTAATCTACATATATTTTGAATCAACCTTATGGAACACAGATGAAAAATAATAGTAATATCTCCAGAAAATGAAACAAATCTTCACTAACCATTGTGTCTCCTGTGAAGACAGCAGGATCCTCTCCTTCTTTACCCGTGAGGTAGTAACTAATATGACCTTTTGTATGACTGATCAACAATTAAAGAAACAGATTTACAAAGTGAGGCAAAGGCCATAAAATAGTAATACATTCTGCCATTTGTCTGAACATTATATAATCACCACAACAAACTACTATAAATAAATAATATTTTGTAAACATTCAAATACTTCTTAGAATATCAAGCCAGGGAAAAATATCTAGGGGCCTTGAGATATGAAGTACTTAACATGCTCAAAATTAAATATCAAAACAAAAATCAAAAGAATATAGTCACACAGTACAAGAAGAGGTGGACGATATAACTACTATAAATAAATAATATTTTTAAACGTTCAAATACTTCAGAGAATATCAAGCCAGGGAAATATATCTAGGGGCCTTGAGCTATGAAGTACTGAACATGCTCAAAGCTAAACCTTTGTTTGGCCCTCATTACTTTCAAAATACATTTCTCTCTCTTATTTTCAATCACACATTCTTCAATAAAATAATATTATACGCAAATCCAAAACTTTTTCTTTTTTTTTTTTTAACCACACATTTTCCATCAAATTACTATTCCAAAATGCATTTTGAACAAAAAAGAGGGGCTCAAACAGGCTCATACCAAAACAAAAATCAAAAGAACAAAGTTATACAGTACAAGAAGAGGTGGATGACATTGCACCGATGATGCAAAATCTAAAGCAGAAACAAGGTAAAAAGGTGTATGGTTATCAAATATCAATGACCACATGTGGTGATTGACGTCATTATGCAGATGTGAAAGTCAACATCGCACAATCAATAAATGCAGCAGTAGCATTAACAAAAAGATATGTAGCCTTATTCAACGTGAACTAGAATCAATTAACATCCTTTTAGGCTTTAGCCATACAATTACACAGGGAGCACCCAATCAATTAATGCAAAACCCAGAAGTTTCCAAATACGTACATTCTATAGCATGAATAGAAATTATCATTCATGAACATAAGTTATACAGCTCGTACCAGGGTGTGTGAAGACACAATATGTTGATTTCAGCCCCGAGTGATATTTTGTCACCATTTTCAACTTTATTAGTGCATCCCTGTACATTATCAATAGAACCTCCATAAACCTTGATATCAGGCACCATCTGCCTTAACTTCTCATTGCCACCAGCATGATCCCTGCCATACATAAAATACATCCTTAACCATTTATACACATACATGCATCCAAGGCCTTCTTTCATTAGATTATTACAGCTTACTTGAGCAGAAAAATTTATCTTCAGATATTGACAACTTACATAAGCAGAAGCCTTTTCTTTAGATTTTTACAGCTCATTGTATGCAGAAAACTGATCTCATCACTTCAAAAATTTCATTACAGTTTTTTTTTTAACAATTACGTTTTTTTTCAGTTTTTTTTTTTTTTTTTTTTTAATAAGTAATCAAGTAATTTTATTAATCAATAGATGATACATGGGAGGTGTATTATCAATTTAAACAAGAAATAAACGACATAAAATTTGGCAACCCTTCTATATGATTAGTGGCCGCAACATTAAACCAAGTATACAAAGTCATATAAAATAATTCTCTAATATGTTCTATTGTTCTTGTTTGGTCTTCGAAACAGCGGCTGTTCCTTTCATTACTGTTTAAACCAATAAACCAATATATGATGTGCAAAAGTCAAAGAGGATCTTCTTCGACCACTTCTCACTATCAAATGATCCAATATTGAAATAATCACAATATAGCCGAACTGAAAGGAAACATGTTTCCATACATACTCACATAAATGAAATTACACCAACCAGGTGGTATATTCCAAGTAACTTTAATTTTTACAATTAGAACCGAATGGCGACTTCTCCCCTAAAATCCAAACGCACCTGACCAACGATCAGGTAAGTGATTCCAACGCTAGCCATGCAACCATGTCAAACAAGAGCCGATCTCAACACGCATGCACTAGTGCATGGGCACAACGAGGCAGCAGAATCGTCTAGTTGCGATCAGGACAACCCAACCGCTTAATTTATTGTCATTTGCTACGTTTGCCCAAAATCAAGTGAATCAGTCGCAGGCCATGGGTGAGATGGTATTCAGTTCTCGATTCAGAATTGAGGCGAAAGAGTTTGTTGTGTCTGTCAACTATTCAGGAATTATTAAGCTATCAGAATGGGGATCGAAGATTTCCGCCACAATTCGCATGGGGAGATATGGAGCCGTGTGGATGGTGAACATGGTGGATAAGATGAGGGTGACTAATAAGTTGGAGGAATTTGTTGTGTAGTTTAATGAGTCCTCTCGAGCTTTCTTAGCAAAACGCTGTGCAAACAGCCGTGGCAGGTACCTGATGATAGCACAGTATGAAGAGAGACGCAGTAAAGGAGTGGTGATGGTTCCTAAAGGGGTGAATGGAAAGGGATGGGCATCAGTTTCAAGTGTGTTTCAGGCAGTTATTGACTCTTTCGTTGCGGACAATAAGGTTAAGAGAACAATTGAAGCAAGGAGCCGACGAGACGATTTATGCTAGAGGTATGGTAAACATACAAGCTTCGCAGAATGCCAGTCAACAAGTACAATGGCATAAGGAAACGACGGCTAATAAGAGGAGTGCTACACAATCTCGGGACCCAATGAGGAAGGACATCCGACATTTCATAAGTTTAAGGAGACAACAACAGAGTGCATATATGATGATTTTTTGAATAGAGGTAAAATAAGAGACCACATTAAGGCTCTGAAAGGTGAACTGGATGAACTAATCAGGTTGATGAAGAGGGGGATTGTAGTGAGTGCCAGGAAAAACTACTTTCATAAATGTGGGGAGGTTTCGGAAGAGTGTCCAGTCAATGGTATAAAAGTAGCAAACTTGGACTCTATTGAGCTAACATCGAACTGGACCTATAGTAAGGACGTGTTAGTCAAGCAAAGTGGGGAACCCCAAGTAGGGACTAAAGCAATAAAGGTGGGACCTTCGGCTAAGGTAGGGGAGCCGAGTATGTTGAAATTGGAGTCGGAGATCCTCGATATGACCAAAGACAATTGTCCCACAATGGAGGATGCGTTGGACAAGAATCCTATAGAGGGATTAGTGTTGGAAATGGAGCAAGAGAACGAAATCGTATTGGTAGAAAGTCCAACTCCAATAATTGAAAAACAACAAGGGGCGACAGGCTCTGCAACTATGGGAATGAATACCTATACAAGGAGATTCGAAACTATAAAAGAGGGGGAGGCAAGGAATGATAAAACTTTGGTGTTGTGGGTTGATGGTGCCAAGAAGGGGGGTATATGCAGTGATGCAGTAAAGATTGAGGTAGAGGATGGACACTACTATGATTTTGCATATGATGAGGAAATAGCGAATGACAATGTGCATGACATTAGATCACTACCATTGAATTGGGTTCTCCAAAAAATTCTGGAATTCAGTAAGATGGTGGGTGTGTCTTGTGATGGGTACGAAAATAGGCTACTGCAATTATTTGAGGAACTGAAGGCTAGTAGGGGACAGGAGGTGGGTACACCAGGAGGTAAGATACAAAGAAAGGGTTAAGCGGCTCGAATGCTCGATTAATTATGCTGTCAAATAAGGCGAGTCAAGAAGAGGACTGATAGGAAGGGATGATGGAGTGTTGAGATGATCCCAAAATAGTAGTTGGAATCTAAGGGGGATCAACGTAGCCGAAAAAAGATTGGGTATTCGAAATCTGAAAAGGAGTTGGAAGGCTGACCTTGTATGCTTACAAGATCAAAGTTGAAGGTCGTTTCAACTACCATTGTGACTAGCCTATGGGGGGATAGCATGTTGGGTATCAGTTTTTGGGGTCATCGGGAGCTACAGGAGGTGTGCTAGTCATGTGGGACACTAAAGTTTTTTATATGGAGGAGGTTAGACGACTATTTTCTCTTGCTCTTTCGTTTAAAAATATTAGAGATGGATTTCGATGAATGTTTATAAGAGTTTATGAGTCCAATGTTGATGAGAGCAGAAGTGGATTGTGGGATGAGTTAGTTGGTATGATGGCTTGGTGGAATCTTCAAATGTGTATTGGAGGAGATTTTAATGTAGTTTGATTTCTTACTGAGAGGTTTATTGGTGGGAGGTTAACAGGAGCTATCAAAGATTTCTCAGATTTTATTAGGGAGAACATTTTGTTGGAATTGCCTATGATGGGTGGAGATTTTACTTGGTCATCCAATCGAGATCAACATGTCTTGTCCGAATAGATCGGTTCCTAATATGCGGAGAGCGGAAGGCTAACCACCTAGAGGTCACTCAGAGGAGATTGGGGAGTATGTGTTCAAATCATTTCCCTATTTGTTATTTGGGAATGTGAGGTGCACTAGAAGTAAGCCTTTTATGTTTGAAAAGATATGGTTAAAAGTAGAAGGGTTTGTGGAGGGAGTACAGACGTGGTGGATGTCGTATGACTTCAGGGGGGGTCTCCCAGTTTACGTGTTGGATCGAAAATTAAAGGCGTTGAAAAGGGATTTGAAGAGGTAGAATTAGGAGGCAGTGGGAGATATTAATTGTCGAAAAATCATTGCGTTTCAGATATATAAAAGCTGGATAGAAGGGAGGAGAGTCGAGGATTGGTAGGGGATGAGAGAGACAAACATGGAGAATTAAGGAAGAGTTGGAAAGGTTGGTGGAGATGAGGAAGATTGCTTGGCGTAAGAAATCTAGGTCAAGTGGTTGAGAGAAAGGGACAAATACACATAGTTATTAAACTCGACCCAACTATTGATCTGGTCAAGGCACCGGGTCTCGAGTTGTTGGTCGAACCGATGGATTAGTGGTTAGACCGATGGCTGAATGCCTAATAATTATAAAATATTTTTTAAAGTATAAAGTTTTTCTTTTAGATAAAAAAAAATTAAATTATCTATCATTAATTATTTATATATTATTTTGATAAATATTCAATTCATGTTAATCAAAATAGTTACTATAATTTTTTAAAAATATTTTTAGCAAACTGTAAATGATTTACATATACACAATTATTGCAAACACAAAACAATAAACACTTGATCTCTCGTGGTTAAGTGGTACTCACTTTACCTAGAGGTCTAAGGTTCAAGTCCTTTTGAGAACAAAAAATTTATGGACAAACTTTAAAATCTCGGTTAAACCAGTCACCTGGCTGAGTTAATATAAAAATTGCCATTTCACTCGGTGAACTCAACGGGTCAACTCGATTTGGGCTAGATTTTTCAACTATTAATGAAGACGACTCTAGTTGGTTAGAGAAACCATTCGAGGAGGATGAAACTAAAGAGGTGGTATTTAGCATGAATGACGACAAGGCTCCAGGACCGGACGGTTTTTTCATTCTCATTTTATAAGGCTTGTTGGGAAGTGGTGCAATCGGATATTGTGGATTCTTTACTTATTTTTTCCAGTGCAATAGGTTCTTGAGAAGCTCTAATGCTACATTTATTATGTTGATTCCTAAGAAATTAGGAGGGGCGAATATTAAGGACTTTTGACCTATTAGTTTAGTAAGTGGGGTGTACAATATTATTAGGAAAATTCTTACAAACAGATTAAAGAAGGTGTTGGAGCAAGTGGTGTCTAAGTTTTAGAATGCTTTCATCAAAGGACGCCAAATTCTAGATACAATACTTATAGCAAATAAATGCATCGACTCACGAATGCGTCTAGGGGTTCCAGGGATGTTATGTAAGCTTGACATTCAGAAGGCTTATAATCACGTAAATTGGGGATTTCTTTTGTATATACTCAAGCAATGTGGCTTCGATGCCGGTTGATTCAATTTTGTATCTCTACAGTTTCTTTCTTAGTTATGGTAAACAGTACTCCTGAGGGTTATTTTCGAAGTAGTAGAGGACTAAGGTAAGGAGATCCGTTATCTCCATTGCTTTTTGTTATTGTGATGGAAGCTTTTAGTAGGATGCTTGAGAAGGCCGTGAAGGAAGGATTGTTAAGGGGCTTTATACGCTGATCTTTTATGATGCAGATGTTGAACAATTTAGGAACCTGCGTCGTTTGCTTCTATGCTTCGAAGCTGCATCTGGATTGAGGGTAATTTTGGAGAAATCCGAGGCTATAACAGTTGGAGAGGTCGAGAATGTGCAAGAGTTGGCTGCTATATTGGGCTGCAGGATTGCGCAGTTGCCTTTGTCATATCTTGAGCTTCTTTTGGGAGCATGGTTCAAAAGTACACATATTTGGAACAGCATTATGGAAATGGTGGAGAAAAGGCTAGCGCGGTGGAAGCACGTGTACCTCTCAAATGGTGGCTGTCTTACTCTATTTAAGTCTACTTTGTCCAATCTTCCTACTTATTATGTCATTGCTTCCTATTCCAGTTTCGGTAGTGAAAAACTAGAGAGGATTCAAAGGGAGTTCCTGTGGGGAGGTTTGGGGGAGGAAGAGAAGAATTACATTTGGTTAACTGGGATACAATTTGTTCTCCCCTAAGGGGGTTTCGGAGTGAGGAGCCTTGTATTGTTTAATAAAGCCTTGTTAAGTAAATAGTTGTGGTGATTCGGAGTGGAGAGGGAGAGTTTTTGGAAAGAAATTATAGGGGCAAAATATGGTATTATGGCAAGGGGATAGTGCTTAGTCGAGGCTCGTATGGGGTGAGTTCGTAGCGATATATCCGACGAGGGTGGAGCACTTTTTCAAATAGATTGACTTTTGTGGTGGGGAATGACAATACTATTAGCTTTTAGAATGATTGATGGTGTGAAGAGCAATCGCTTAAGGAAGGATTTCCCTCTTTGTATCGCATTGTTTTGGAGCCGTCCACTATGGTGAATGAGGTCTTAAATATGCATAATGGAAGTCTCAATTGGAACATTGTCTTTCGGCGGGGTTTGCAAGACTGGAAAGTGAATGATTATGCTTTGCTACTGACATCCTTGTATGAGGTGCACATCAAGGTAGGAAAGGGTGCTTGTAGCAGGTGGAGATTGACACGGGATGATATCTTCTCAGTCGACATGTATTTTAGATATTTATTGGGACCCGTAGAGAGTTCATTTCCTTGAAAGATTGTATGAAAATGTAAACTGCCTCCAAGGGTGGTATTTTTACTATTGACAGTTGTCAGGGGATATGTGTTAAATGCGGATAATCTCCAAACAATGGGGTTTTTATGTTACGGAGTGGTGCTATATGTGTGGAAGAGATGGGGAGACGATTGACCACTTGTTCCTTCATTGTGATGTTGCTTGTTTGCTGTAGAACGATATTCTGATGTCTCAACACATGGATTGGATGTTGCCAAGGCGTATGACAGACGTGTTAAAGGTATGGAGAAAAAAGTTTTGCGACAAGACTAGCAAGCTTGTATGGAACCTTATTCCGAATTGCATCGCATGGTGTGTGAGGAGAGAAAGAAACATCCATTGTTTTGATGATAAAACGTGGACAACAGAGCAGATTAGAGAATTGTTTCATTTGAAATTGTATACTTAGTTTAATGTTGCGACTACTAGGCCTATAAACGAGCTGCCAAATTTTATGTTGTTCCTTTCTGGTGTAAATTGATAATAAACTTCCAGTGTATTTTCCATTGATTAATAAACTATTTGATTGCCTTTCCCAAAAATATATATATATTCCAAGTAATCAACTGCACAAATAGAACACCCACACAAATTTCCAAAGAAAGGGATAACATAAACTAAAACTAATTAACTGATCAGCCCCTCCACTAAAAAACCAAGTATCATTAATCATCAATATCAACAAATAAACAAGAAGGGAAAAATATAATGAAAGGAAACTAACCAGTGATGGTGAGTAGTGAGGACAAGCTTAAGGTCAACTCCATTTTCTTGAGCAACCCGAAGAATACTGTGAGGCTCCACTGGGTCCACTACTGCTGCTTCTTTTGTTGCCTCATCAATAATCCTAGCAAAAATAATCACGAAAAAAATCCAACAAATGATCAAATTAATTTCTCTAAAACTTCTGCTTCTTTTATAGCCTCATCTATAATCCTATTAAAAAAAGATCAAAAAAGACCGATCAAACGATTAGATTTATTGCTCAAGCACTAGACATTCACTAAAACTACTGCTTATTTTGTAGCTTCGTACATAATTCTATCCAGAAAATAAATAAATAAAATAAAAATTAATACGCGAAAATTTCAATGAGTTTTAGCAAGCACACATGTAGGCGTAGTTGTCTTCTAAGCATGGGATGTGAAGGATCTGCATCTCGTTCCGGCGTTGAAGAATAAGGCGGTTCTATGCTGCGTCGTTTTGGTGCTTATCGTTTGCAGTGAAACGAAATGTGAATTGACGTGGGGGATGTACTCGTGTGTTTGGCTACGAGTACAGTGATAAGGATTACTCAAAACTAGTTTAATTAATTGTTTTGTTTTTTCACTGCCCTCCTTTTTTTTTTTTTTTTTTTTTTTTCCTTCTTTGATTTATTTTTACACTATTTTGATACAAATGTAGCAATTTTCTTGGAGCTCTTTAGCGGGTTTCAATGGAAATCTCGATATATTTGGCGAGTTCTTGCTATTGAAAATTTTTAGCACCTTTGTTTTGGATTTTCTATTCGGTTTCATTTCTTGATTTATTTTTTGCATTATTTTCAAGAAATTCTTTGTATCTAATTAAGCCCTTGTTTGAGCCCCATTTTTTGGGGAAGAATGAATTTTTGAATAGTGTATTGATGGAAAATGTATAGTTAAAAAATAAGGAAAAGTTTTAGATTTACATGTAATATTATTTTATTGAATAATGTATGATTGAAATGATGTCAACATACTATTAAAAATGAATTTTTCCAAAGAAATGGGGCTCAAACAAGGGCTAATTTTGATTGGATGGGGAACGATGAAGAAATTTTTGCACGTTTTCTCCAACTATCTTTTGAATTTTGGATATTTGAAAGCAGAAATGAGAGATGACGTGTATTCCATAGGAATTAATTACTTTTATCCTTTGTTTTTGTCGAAAAAGTGATTGAAAAATTAAAAAATGGAATTCGTGGTAGATAACATAGAGGTCGTCCAATGGAAGGAAAATAAATTTAACGTAGATAAAAATAGTGAGCATTTATTTTTCAACTTTAAGCGTGTATATAATTGTTAAAACATAGTAAAATTCACTTTAATGTATCTATTTGCGCTCTATTTCTTTCAAAATTCATTTTCAAACACACATTATCTCGACTCCTATAAAATAATGTTACACGTAAATTTAAAATTTTTTCTTATTTTTAATTACTTATTCTCAAAAAAATCATTATTCCAAAATCTATTTTCCCTCAAAATCTCATTTTAATGTAATCGAAACGGGGCGATGTAACTTATTATTTTTAAACATATATAAATGTTACTCTTTTTTACTTTTACGTAAAATAAATTATATTTAAAATATTAAGTTTTAAATTACTTCTAACTTATTTTCAACATAAATAATTAGAGAATATTTATTTAACATTTTAGAAGTATCAATAAAGAAATGTTTAATTAGAAGTGAATATTTTAACATGGTTAAAAAATTATGTGTTTAACCACATGAGCCACGTCTAGGCCTGGGCGTGGTTTGGTTTGGGTTGGTTTTGACCTAAACCCAAAACCAAACCAAAGTAGTCGGTTTGAGTGAAATTAAAATCAAAACCAACCCACTCTAATTCTTAAACCGAACCAACCCAAACCACTTCGGTTCGGTTTGGTTTGGTTTGGTTTCTCGGTTTGAACTTTTAAATAACATTGCATTGTAACTTATAAAGAACAAGCAAACATTGATGTTACTCTTACACATTGTTCTCTCTCTTTTCTTTTTCTTTTTTTTCCTCCTTTTTTTCTTTCTTTTTCCTTTCTTTTTTTCCTTGTTCCCCCATTTTTGAGTTTGATTTACAAATGTGAGTGTTTCTTTTGCTTGGCGCATGATCTTTGGATACTTTTTGTAATGAATTAACAATTGCCAAACTTAATGACTAGTTTCACTTGTTTATGTCTGTGGGCGAGTGCTAATTGATTATCTGGATCATGTAGTTTCACATTATAGTTTGTCTCCTTCAAAAGTATTTGTTTCATATCCTAGAATATCTTTCCTAGCATTTGTTTTGGTCAAGAAGCAACATTTGATTCCATTTATAATGTCCTTTTAGTTTGTGATTTTTGTCATATGTTTTTAATTGAAGAGATCACTTTCTTTCAACTTGTGGAGGAAGCAAATTTTCCTTCAAGTTTGTTTTGTTAATCTACAATGGGGGATGAGGAAAACAATTTTCAACCTTCAAAAAAGAGGGCTGCCGGAGTGCAACTATCTTGAGATAATCCTGATCTTGATGATGATGAAACCTTTGAATCAGAAACAAAAAGTTTCAAAAAAGCTAGTGACGAGGTTCTGGAAAGTAGAAGAATAGCGAAAGTTCGTCGTCATCAAGCATCAACTTCCAGTGCCTTATCTTTTGACTTTTCTTCCTGAAAAGGAAAACGAAAGCAAGATAAAATGTATTGCTTGAGAGTCTGATTATGAGTTAGTTTCCATGAAATAATTATAAGTCCTATATCCATTTTGTTGCATGATTCTTAATCATCATGCTGCATGATTCTGGAGATATGAATGATTGAATCGTAAATATAGTCTACAGTTGCTAATAAAACCTTAGTTTTACTACTATTGAAATTGATAATTAATGTGGAATTTTATTGGATTTGGATTGGATTGGTTATCATGTTTATTTTGATTCCTACAATCATACTCTGTCTGTGAGTTATCCTTCTTCTTCTTCTTCTTCTTCTTTTTTCAAAAAGAAAAAAAATGGTTTAAATTTGTAGCGGGTTGAGCGGTTAACCATCGGTTTTGGTATTCAAACCATGAACCAAACCAAACCAACATGATTTTTATCTACAAAAAACCAAACCAAACCAAACCATTTGACTACTCTAAACCGAACCAAATCAAACCGAATCGGTTCGGTTTGGCGGTTTAGGTGGTTTGACGGTTTTTTTGCCCATGTCTAGCCAAGTCTTAAAAAAAGGAAAAACAAAACATTTTTATTTACACAACCCCGTTTGGTCCCCTTTTTCTTTCAATTTTTTCCTCATATTCTTATTTTCAACCAAACAATTTTCTATAAAATAATATTACACAACAAATTTTCTTCAAGGAAAAAAAATTATATACACACACACACACGCGCCAAGTAAGTAGGGATAATAATTGTGAATATACCAAAAAAATAAATAAATCATTGATCTTAAATATTTAAATCACTCTAATTATCACACTTACTCTATAAATCCTTAGTTGGACAATAAAATGTAAGAGGAAACTCAAGAAAATGTGTTTCAATAAAATATTAAATACATGTGTAAATATATATAAATCCTTCAGAGAATAATGGTAGTATTGAAAGAATAATCGTCTGAACTTCAAAATCTAAGTTTCTCGATTGCAAAAAGAGGTAAGAAAGAAGATGGGTGGTGGTGGCGGCGGCGACGACGAACTATGGCTGGCGTCGAGTTAGGATTTTTGGATTCTGGTTTTGTTTAGAGTGCGGGTGGAGGTATTGTCGAAAAATAGATTATGCTATTTATATATATAAATAGTACATAAGAAATTACATAAAATAATGTAGAGAGAGAATGTTAGATGAATAAAGTCGGTTGTGATTAAAATTGGCAAATAATAGAATAATATGTGATATTTTGTAACTTATTATATAAAATTTGATGTATATGTAGTAATATCCGTAAATAAATAAATAAAAAAAAGGATGAAATAGGGTGTGCGTGGGTAGGCAAATTTCAATTTTTTATTTTATTTTACATTTAATTATTTTAATTATGTTATTTGAAAAAAAAATGTAAATTTATAATTATACCCTTATAAATTTGGTCAAAGCAGGGTTGAAGTAAACTTCTCTACACAATTAACGGTCAAAGGGACCGAATTTGTCCATCCACCCTTCGCCTGTAACGAAATGAAAGATTTGAGATTGTCGTAGGTACAAATGAAAAGTTTGAATAAATTTTTAAAAAAAATGAAAGGTATGGGACCGTATCTGCAAATATCTCAAAATAAAATGAAAACTACTTTGTACAAGTGTACTCGGCTGTATCTATGGCCTACGGAGTCCGGACATACTCCTATACAGCTGATACAAGCTACCTCTCTCTCTCCTCCTTTTTTTCTCCTAGGAAAACGATTTGGTTGATTTTCTTCAGTGAGTCAATCGGTCATCCTCTGAGTTTGTGCTCCCCGTGAATCTAAATCCATCCATACTAAAACCCAAGAAAATATCACGAAAAAAATGTCAAAACCCTCATCGTCAAGAATTATTATTAGATGTTTTCATCACGTTTCATCCAAAGTCTCCGCAGATGCAGCTCCCACTAGCAGTGGCATTTCCAATTTCCTATCAAATAACTCAAAAACCAATCAAAGTAGCACTTTTTCCACATGGATATCAAATTCTAGAAAAACCTATTTGCCGGTATCGCCCAATGTTCCAAGAATTTTCGAAAAATTAGACCCAAATGCCAAACTATCGCCGAATAGAATTTTTCTTGGGTTCAGGTACATTTCTTTTAAGGGTTATGAAGTTGGTTCTAAGAATTTTGCAAAAAATGTGATTCAAAACCCTGTGGGGGCGGTTAGGAACACATTTTTGCGGTATAGGGAGGCTGCGGGGTTGCACATTGAGGCCTTCTGGAAGAGGAATTATCTGGCAATTCTCGGTGCAGGTGGGGTTGTGGTATGCATTTTGCTGTGGAGGGTTTTGTTTGGCATCGCCAGCACTTTTATTAGCTTGTCTGAGGGAATGGCAAAGTATGGGTTCCTTGCTCTTTCAGCCGCTATGGTTGCATTTGCTGTGAGTTCTTCTTTGCTAAAATTTTCGATCATTATACCATTTTATTATACACTGAATTGGATTTTCGTTGATGAATGGTATCTTAAGCTGTTAGGGTCACATCGTCCTAATTTTGTAATTTGCTCGACAACATGGTGTTTTTAAATGGATTATTGACTGTGCTTATGATTTGTTCTCTCTAGTGTTTTAGTAGATTAATGGTAATGTTTTAAGTTGCTTGAAAAGTTTGACAATGGATGCCACAAGTTTGTCAATAATTGAATGACTATCTATTTACATAAAGTAATGACTAAATCAACTCAACTTTTGAGTGGCGTATGACTTTGGGTGGACCTGTTATGGTTTAGGCCATGGATCCTGCTTGAATGATAGGTATAAATATGATATCACATGGATAGAGTTCAACGTATATGAGTATATATGAAAGCGACTCCAGCTGAACTTAGTTCATTTAGAATCTTGGATCACACTTTATGCCATGGGTATGCAATTAATATCTCTTTAGAAATCAGTTTTCGAGTGCGCATAGCTTATCTCTGATAAATATGAAAACAATTAACAGGTAGGTAATTTGCACTGATAAACTGCAGGAGGAGGAAGTTGGTGGCTGTTATAATGTTTATGAATGTGCAATTAATCTCTCTTTAGAAATCACTTTTTAAGTTTGCATAGCCTGTATCTGATAAATAGAAAAACAGTTAATAGGCAGATAATTTGCATTGATAATCTGTAGGAGGAGGAAGTTGATGGCTGTTATGATGTTGTTTCGCACGGGTTAGTCCCTAACAATTAAAAATGGATCAGATGATTGTGTAAGGGACAAATCTCTTGAGACAAAGTCCCAAAAAGGGGCGTTTTTATTGACGATGACTTTACAATCGGAAAGTAAAATCTAAATGCCTCCAAGGGACGCAAGCACACGAGTTACTGTAAAAGAAGTGTTTAAATTTAAACTAAGAAATTGAAAGTTACATATTCTCTGTTTGAGAGTATTTGATTCGGGGTCCTTTGCTCTATGTCTTTTCTTCCTTTTATACTTCCTGGATGATTTCTTCGTGATCAACCGCTTAAGAAACTGCTTGATCGCTCTATAACTGTCCACTTTCCTTGTAGTGGCCAACTTGTCATGGAACTGCCTTCTCTAACTGCTGCCATTACTTTTATCGTTCAACCGTCTTCAATTGAATTCCTTGAATCGTGGAACGTGATAGGACTACCTAATAACTGCTTCATTAACTGCACTTTTGGGTAACCATAACTTCTTATGTTTGCTAAGATGTTGGGCGACTTGAATGTTTGGACGAGAGCAGAGTCACAGCTCTGGGCGACTGCATGGCAATTCATTCGCCTCAAACCTTGGGCGACTTGCAACCTTGGGCGATGGTATTTCCGCGTTCATAGGCTTCCTTATTTGGGCCTTTATCCTGCATTGCCTGACTGGGTTGTTCTTTGGGCTATTTGATTTTGGGGATCTTCTAATTGGGTTTCATTCCTTGGGCTATTCAACTTGAGCTAAACTTTTTGTGTGTTAACAATTACCTCCCAATATGGCAGAATTAATACCAATTATTAATTTTTTGCCATATTCACTTTGTGTTTCCCAGCAACATTCGAAATTCCTAAGAATTTCAATCATTGTTTTCTTCCATAGCCTGAAAAGGTGCGACGTTTACAAATCCTTATAACCCCCAAATACGCCATTTCATTGCACCCCTAAATCACGCCTCATTTTTTCGCGTTTCTTCCTCGCAATATTACTGTTCATCTCCTTGCTTCTCTGCTATGTAACTCTGAAGAATTCTATTTCGTTCTTAATGGCTACTTCACAATCTCAGTCTGGTGACTCCTTCAGTTTCGAAGACTTTCAGAAACTCCTTACTCGACCATACATAACTCCTAACTTCCTTGCATTGGCCAATGTCGAACTCAATGAGTTCTATCTAGGTCCTTTTTTCAACTATGTCGAGGCCATCGAACAAGCGGCGGTCGGTCAGCTGTTCCCTTGTACTTAGGGCCCTCCGTTTCTAAATTCTTTGCCGTTGGGGCCACTTCGCGAAAGAGGTATTCGCACTTGGCCTAAATCTGATATCGTTTTTCGTAGATGGCATGCTCGCCTTGTGGACTATGGTCCTACTAAGGCAATTTTTGATAATGCTAGGATTTCTGATTTGTTAGAAATTTCTCTTCAACCCTCCTATTTTTGACCCAATACTTTTTCCAATCGTTTTAAGTTTTTGGTCTTCTGAATATAATACTTTTGTTTTTCGTCTTGTTCTCATGTCCATTATCTTAAGGGATGTTAGAGCCCTAGTAAATTTGCTACCTTTGGGCGATACCATTTTCCCTGGTATTTTGATTTCTGGTATCGCCCCAAAATTTGGTAAAGGCCTCACCGAGTCTTATTCAAGCTTGCAAACCCTTCATAACCACTTGAGCGCTGAGTCTTCCCATACTGAGCGAATGGCCTTTCTTCTGATTTGGCTTTGTAAATACATTTTGTGCGTGCCAAGCATAAAGCCCTCCCTGAGCTATTTACCCATAGTGCATGAATTGGCGCGTGGTAGGCTTCTGAATTTATGTTCTTTCTTTTTAGTTGCCCTCTATAGAGGCATGGCTTCTCTTCAATCCCAATTGAAAAATGATGCATCTCCTACTGGCAGTGAGCCTCTTTGGTTCACTCAAATATGGTTGAGAGCCTATTTTCCATCGCTCGGTGCTCCATCTTTTTTCAGTCCTTCTGCTAGCTGCTATGGGCTAGTCATTGATCCCCTAACTCCTGTAAATATGTCCAGAAGGGACATTTTTTCATTCTTTTATACTTTGAATTCAATCCATTCCTTCTTTCATTTTCCTCCTTTTTTGACTCCAGATTATGTGCAACCTCCATCCACTATGGATAGTGCAAGCACCTCTCTGTTCATTTGGATTCAGTTTTGACCGGGAGGGAGTTGTTCCACGATATTTTGACTGGGACTAATGCCAAGGCAGGGGTAGAAATATATGCTCCTCAATTTTTTGCTCGTCAACTTGGTTTTGACCAAATTTGGCCCGTTCCTCCTTGCTATTCAAGGAATTTGATAGACCGCTTCCATACTATTAATAAAACAGAAGCGGAGGCTATAAATGCTAGCAATCTTTCTTTGACAAGTAACTTCTCATTAGCCCCCTTCAATCCTAGCTGTGCCATCCATCCTCTTTTTGAATGACTCTGGCCGTCAATGAAACACAGATTGTTCGCGACTGATGCCAATCGTGCTTTCCATTCATTAGACCAGCCAATCATTTCTTCCACCTCTCCTGTTTTAATCACTCCTGTGTCCATTAGGAGTCCCTTTTCTTCTGCTCGTGCTAAACAATCTGCCCGTCCATCGACTTCTCTTCCTGCGAAGCCCACTGCAGCTAAAAGTGCCTCAAGCCGCAAACGGCCAGTCCCAGCGTCTCCTAAGGAGGAAGGTAATTAAATCGGTTTACTCATAAGCATACCTTTCTATACTTGAGGCTTTTCCATGCTCTGATAGTTTATTTGGACATCTAACAAAAGTTCAACCTCTCCTTTGAAGGTTTTGGTGTTGGCAACTCCTACTCCATCATCCTCTGCTGGGGCTGATTCGTCCAAACCCGCTGATGAAGGAGTTACGCTTAAAGAGAAATTTTCAGTCCCAGAATCTTCATCACAACCAATGGATGAGCCACCTTCTTCCCAGGGCGTTGACCCCCCAGACGTCGAAGCAAAAGGTAATTCATTTTTTGATACTTTACCTTTGCTTGTGCTATTGGTGTTGATTTGTTGTCTTTTGAGCTCTGCAGATGTTCTCATGAGTTTGCCCGTTGCGGCAAGGTCTTCTCACTTAGACAAGGGGAAGTCCTCACAAATGGTGGAGCCAGAGGTGGCAGATTTGGCTTGGGATATGCCATCTTCGAAGATTGTTGATGAGGTAATATTTGCTTCACCTTTACCTCCACTTTGTTTAGTGTAGTTGAAACCTTCAATATTGGCAATTTTCTTTGCATGATGCTGATAAAATTGTGCATTCCATTCAAAACTTGTTCGCTTCCTGGGGGCAAGTCAAAACATCTCGCCCTGCTTCAGTCAGTTGTCTTTCTGCTTCTTCAGAGGACGATATGAAGTTCCTCAAATAGTCGATATTTGAGTATGTGTCCTTCATGGATATGAACATCGGTAAGGCTAGTGCTGCCAGACATAAGGATAAGCTTGAGCATTTGAATGCGAAATTGGAGCAAGCATTGACATGTCCGTCGCTCAATCTTTCTGCTGATTTTAAAGCGACGTTGAAAGTTATCCATTCCGAAATCCTCTCCTTGCTGGCCAAGAATGTTGAACTGAAGGCCAAAAGTACTCAATATCTTCGCGCCGTATCTGAAAAAGAGTCTTTCTTCTGGAGATCAACAAAGTTGAGGACGAGTTGAAAGAAATCTCTTCTGAAGTCATGATTGAAGACTCTTTGATGACTAGTTTGGTTGCTCAGATGAAGGAGCTTCAAGCCAAGATGGACGACTGCAAGGCGAGAATGGCTGCTAAAAAGCGTAATGCCTCCCAAGGAATTGAGCGAACTAAGTCTTTGGTCGAGCAGTACAAGAAGTTGGAAGTTGATGATGATATTGTGGTTGAATTGAACATCACTTCTTCTCGGCAGAACGAGGACTGGGGGAAACTTAGGGAAATAATTTGTTCGGTATGGGGCGAATTGTAATTAAGACGTATAATGCCTTAACTTTTTTTTTTTTTTGTAATTTCGTATTTTACTTTCTCTTTGTAACCTTGTACTGATATAACAGCAGCAATCATTGTCAATGAATAATTATTTTAGCTTTTTGTGCATTTATTGACGTTCGTCTTTTAATCGTCAATCGCTCAGGCATTTAACTGCTTTATGCTAAAATTTTTGCACATTTTCTTTTGATATTTCTGCTCGATTTTAGGCAGAAATATTCTGTCTTTTCACCTTCACCCCCCTATAAATGCATGTATACTTCATATT